TTATAGTGTGTACAAAAATAGAAATGTTGAAATAACATTGGGGTGGGGTTGAAATAGCATTGGGGTGGCATGCTGGAGGGCAGTTGCTATGACAATGTGGAAAATCCCAAAAGTTATGTGTTTGCTGTTTGAACTATGGGTCAGTTGGTCAATTGGTATCAAGCCGTCCCTTTAGATGCTTGTCTGATTGACCCTCATTGCAATGTGATTACTGTAAGTGCCTTATGTTTGCTATGCTTTAAATTCTAATAAATATCTGAATCCTAAAGTGAGACTTTTGTGGTGTGCTGTCTGTTCAATTTTTATTAAGTGTAGCTATGCTCATAATCAGGTTTGACAGTACTTCTGGATATTTGTAGAAGGGCAAACCCATTCTAGATCTGCAATATTTGAGGGGGGAAACAGGTATCAAAGTGTACAAACGTTTTCCCTGATATGATTGACTAATGTTTAACTGCATTTCTCTGAAGATTGTTAAACTCCAGAGTAATTTATGAGAAGAACTGGATATCTGCAAACTTGAGGTTTCTATAAATATTGACATAATAAATGTCAATAAATAAATAATAAATGACTTTGTTTCAGAAATTGTGGGTGCTCCAACACTGGAGGCTTTTAAGAAGAGATTGGACAACCATTTGTCTGAAATGCTATAACAGTGACGGCTAACCTTTTTGCCGTTGCATGCCAAAAGCAGGGGGAGCATGGCGGGGTTGCGTATATGCATGCCCTCACCCATAATTCAATGCCCTCCAATGTCCCCACACACATGTGCGCACCACCCCTCCACACTCCCCCCGCTTTTGGCCTGCGACAGCAAAAAGGTTACCGGTGGGCCTGGTAGTCCTGTTTTTTGCCCTCCCCAGGCTCCAGAGGCTTTCTTTGGAGCCTCGGGGGGCAAAAATGGCCTCCCCCCCGAGGCCGAAAACGCCCTCCCAGAGCCTCCACGTGAACCCTGTACTTATCTGGCATCCAAAATGGGCCACATGGAGACTCCTGGGAGGGGAGGGGCAGCATGGGCAGGGCCAGCCGAAAATCAGCTGGCCAGCGCGAGCATGTGAACTGGAGCTGAGCTAGGGCAATGGCTGGTGTGCCCACAGATATAGCTCTGCATGCCACCTGTGGCACGCATGCCATAGGTTCGCCATCACGGTGCTATAGGCTTGAGCAGATGGTTGGACTAGAAGACCTCCAAATCCCTTCCAACTCTGTTATTCTGTATTTATTATGCTTTGGAGAATAGGATGATCCCTTCTTCTTTGTGGCAGCCCCTTAGATATTGGAACACTGCTATCATGTCACCCCAGTCCTTCTTTTCATTAAACTAGACATACCCAATTCCTGCAACCATCCTTCATATGTTTTAGCCTTCAGTCCCCTAATTAATTTTGTTGCTCTTCTCTGCACTCTTTCTAAAATCTTTTTTATATTGCAATGCGACCAAAACTGGGTGCAATATTCCAAGTATGGTCTTATCAAGCCATTATAAACTGGTATTACATTTCATGTAATCTTGATTCTATCTCTCTATTAATACAGCCTAGGACTACAATGGGGTTTTTGGCAGCTACAGCACACTGCTGGTTCATATTCACATGATTGTGCAGTAGGACTCCCAGATCCTTCTCGCAGTTACTATGTTGAGCCAGGTACCACCTATTCTACACTTGTATATTTGGTTTTTCTTGTCTAAATGTAAAACCTTACTTTTCTCTACATTGAATGTCATTTTGTTAGACAGGGCACAGTATTTGAGTCTGTCAAGCTCTGGTTCTTGAGCCTATTTTCTGGAGTGTAGACAATTCCTGTCAGTTTGGTGTCATCTGCAAATTTGATGAGTTTCCCTTCTATCCCCTTGTCTAAGTCATTGATGAAAATATTGAAGAATACTGGGCCTAAGACAGAGCCTTGGAGTACCCCACTGCTCACTTCTCTCCATGTAGATATGGTTCAATTAAGGACTACATGTTCAGTGCTGCTTGTCAGTGAGTTACAAATCCATCTGGTGATGATGCTGTCTAACCCACATTTTTCTATGTTATCAAGTAGTAGGCTGTGGTCAATTTTATTAAATGCCTTACTGAAGTCCAAGTAAATTATATCCAGAGCAATTCCCTGGGTCCTCTATTTTTGTCACTTTGTGAAAGAATGCAAACAGATTTGTCTGGCATGATCTGTTTTTGACAAATCCATGTTGGCTTCTGCTTATGATTTTGTTTACCTCTGGGTATTCACAGATTTGTTGCTTAATTCTCTTTTCCAGAATCTTTCCAGGTATTGATGTCAGGCTGATAGGTCTGTGTTTTCTGGATCCATTTTTTTCCTTTTTTGTAGATGGGAACTACATCAGCCCTTTTCCAATTTTCTGATAGTTCTCTGGTGCTCTAGGATCTTTGAAAGATATGGTTCAAAGGTTCTGGATCTCATCTGTCAATTCCTTCAGAACCTTGGGGTGTAATCTATCTGGTCCTGGTTATTTGAACCTTCTGGAGTAGATAAGTGATCTCTTACCATTTTCTTGCTTATTTTGACTTGCATTCCTAATTTGTATTTTACAGTATTTTTTTAATAGGTTGGTCTTTTTTTTCCTTTTATATAAAGACAGATGCCAAAAATGAATTAAGAAGTCCTGCTTTCTCCTTGTTTCTCATCACTTTCTTGCCATTTTCTCCCATTAATGGACCAATAGTTTCCTTGACTTTTTTCTTGTTTTTTCCATGTTGAAAGAAGCTTTTGTTGTTGTTGTTGTTGTTGTTGTTGTTGTTGTTGTTGTTTTTGACTTTTGTAGGAAGACTTAGTTCATTCTGGGTCTTAGCTTTCCTGACTTCAGCTTTGTAGGTTTGGGCTATTTGCTGATATTCTGCCTTAGTTATGTGCCCCTCTTTCTACTTTTTATACTTGTTTCATCTTTGTTTATCAGAGAGTTCTTTGTGCAGCCATGCTAGTTTCTTTTGAGATCTCTTATTTTTCTTCTTCATTGGAATTGTGTTAGACTGACTTTTTATAATCTCATTTTTCTAAGTTTCCCAAGCTTCTTGGGCTGTTTTCCCCTGAGGATTCTCATCCATGGAATCCTTCCCAAGCTCTATCTAAGTTTATTGAAATCAGTTCTCTTGAAGTCCAAGACTTTAGTTTGACTTTGATCTTGAGCTTGCATAATGTTGAATTCAAATAATACATGGTCACTCTCCAGCAAGGTCCCTGTTACTTCAACATTTTCTATATTTCATCTCTGTTACTGAGGATGAAATGCAGTATGGATGACCCTCTAGTTCTCTTCTCTACCTTTTGGGACACAAAATTATCTGCTAGATTTGTCAGGAATCTGTTTGATCTTCCACTGGGTTTATTTCCCATTGATGTCAGAGAAGTTAAAGTCCCCATTACTATTGTGATGTGATTCCTACATACCTTAGTTAACTGATTAGCAAAAAGCTCATTTATTTCTTCTGTTTGGTTGGTTGGTTGGGTGGACTGTACTATATATCTATGGTAAAGTCATTATTTTTTCCTTTTATATTGACCCAAATGCATTCAAGATGTTTTTAACCATTATTCTGTTGTATTTTTGTTGAACTATGGTTGTTTCTTATATATAGCAGAACTCCACCTCCTTTTATTAGGTCTGTTTCTTTTAAATAATTTAAATCTCTCTAGTTGTACATTCCATTCATGGGTTTCATCCCACCAAAATAGATACTTAGATTAACAGAATTGGAAGGGACCTTGTAGGTCATCTAGTCCAACCGCCAGCTGAAGCAGGAGACCCTACACCATTTCTGACAAATGGCAGTCCAATCTCTTCTTGAAAGCCTCCAGTGATGAAACTCCCACAGCTTCCGAAGACAAGCTGTTCCATTGGTTGATTGTTCTCACCATCAGAAAATTTATCCTTATTTCTAGGTTGAATCTTTCCTTAATCAGTTTCCATCCATTATTTTTTGTCTGGCTTTCGAGTGCCTTGGAAAACAGCTTGACCTCTTCCTCTCTGTGGCAGCCCCTCAAATATTGGAACACTGCTATCAAATCTCCCCTAATCCTTCTCTTTACTAGACTAGTCATGCCCAGTTCCTGTAACCGTTCTTCATATGTTTTAGTCTCCAGTCCCCTAATCATCCTGGTTCCTCTTCTCTGCACTTTTTCTAGAGTCTCAACATCTTTTTTATAGTGTGGTGACCAAAACTGGATGCAATATTCTACTACTGTGGTCTTACTAAGCCTTTATAGAGTGGTATCAAGTACCTCACTTGATCTTGATTGTATCCCTCTGTTAATGCAATTTAGGATTGCATTGGCTTTTTTGGATGCCGCTGCATATTGCTGGCTTATATTTAACTGGTTGTCCACTAAGACTCCAAGATCCCTCTCACAGTTATTGCTATTGAGCCTGGTTTCACCCAGTTTATATGTGTACTTTTGGTTTTCTTGCCTAAGTGTAAGACTTTACTTTTCTCTACATTGAATTTCATTTTGTTAGATAGGGCCCAGTGTTCAGGTCTGTCAAGATCCAGATGGATCTTGAGCCTATCTTCTAGGTGTTAGCTATTCCTGCCAGTTTAGTATCATCTGGAAATTTGGTAAGTTCCCCTTTTATTCCCTCATTTAAGTCATTTATGAGGATATTAAAGAGTTCTGGACCTAAAACAGAATATGTCAGATATCAAATGTAATTTATTTAATAATCAAATTTCTACAGTTCCCTTTTCATCTGAATCACTCTGGATGATTTACAATAAAAACATAGTGTTAAGACATGGAAAAATGGCCAAGAATTTTTCATAGAAGTCATGTATAATTATTTGGTTGTTAGCTGCTTCTACTGAAGACCTTGGAAAGTTCAGAATTGATCAACAATTCTGTTGAAGTAGAGTTTATGTTTCTTCTGAAGAATTGGAAGCACTGCCTAAAAAGTTGAACTGTTGCTTGATTTGTTTGTGGTTACAATCACAATACAAAGTTCACAAAGCTCTCATGAAGTTCTCTTTTAGCTATCAAGGTCAAATTCTTGTTCCAGTAATATTTCCTCTTCACAAGTTCCCTAACAAAAAGCAAACCAACAAGCAAAAAGGAGGAAGGGATGATAGTAGCTCAGAGAAATCAGCTGAAAGAGCCAAACTGCTGAACTGAATTTTAGTAGTTGGGAGATTACCTGAAGGACTATGAAGGCCTGGCTGCTCCTGGTTGCTGCTTTTCTTCTCTGGCCAGGCTTCTCTTCTCAAAAGGGTAAGTTAAGAAAAAAAAATCAAGGGGTTACTAAGGAAAACAGTGTCTGCTGCATTCATTAAAGGACCAGTTACTTTTAGCAAAAGCAAAGAGTTCCATTTTTCATTTGTGGCTTTCTGGACATTTGTAATACCAGATTCTTTAAGAATATCATGGATTTATAATTCCAATCCCCTTTTCAAATACAAGATTTTTCATCAGTTGATTTCTGAATAGCAAAATACTTTGTCCTGTCTCCGTTTACTAAGATACTCGCCTTCTGATTATCGTAGATAGATTTTATCATCTTTTCAAAATTTGTTCCGAATCTCATTACCTCCATTTGTTTTATCATAAATTTCCAATTTAAATTATCGAATGCCTTTTGGGCATCGACAAACACTAAGGCCATCTGGTTTTCGAGGTGTTCTTCATAATATTCTAGGATATCCAACACAGTTCTCAAATTATCTCTGATTTGTCTCCCCAGGAGGAATCCATTTTGATCTTTATGTATCCAAATGCTTAGTATTTTTTTGGTTCTTTCCGCCATTATTCTCATAAATAGTTTATAGTCAGTATTTAGGAGGGAAATTGGTCTATAATTCTGAATTTGTTTTAGGTCGGCACCTTCTTTCGACACTAGTGTGACATGCGCTTCCTTCCACGATTCTGGGATTTTAGAACCCATCAATACGTCATTGAAAATTTCCACTAGTTTTGGTTGTATTATTTCTTCTAGTTTTTTGTATATTTCCCCTGGGAATCCATCTGGGCCTGGCGATTTATTATTCTTAAGTTTAGAGAGAACTGTTTTTAGTTCTTCAGCTGTTATCTTTCTATTAAGCATTTCTCTCTCTTCCTCTGTTATTTGCGGAAGCTCTGCATTTGCCAAATATTGCTCTATTTTTCCTTCTGGAACCTCCTCTTCTTTGTATAGGGTCTCATAAAACTCCCTGGCTCTTTCTAGTTTATCTTCTTCTTTGTTCAATAGCTTGCCCTTAGAGTCTTCTAATAAATGAATTGTCCCCTTTTCATTTTCCTTTTTTAATTTATAGGCTAGCCACCTGCCCGACTTGTTGGCATTCTCAAAATAGTATTGTTTCGTTCTTTTTATTTTTTGCACTAGTTCCTCTTGGTCAATGATGTTCAGTTTGTGTCTCCACATTAGCCAGCTTTCTTTAGCTGTTTCATCTGCCGGGTTTTCTTGGAGTTTTCTTTCCGCTTCTCCTAAATGGTTTAAATAGTCTTCCAGGGTCTTTCTTTTATCCTTACTTTTGTATGCACTGTAGGAAATTACAACTCCTCTTAAATAGGCCTTCATTGCATCCCATACTATTGCACGAGGTGTTCCTTGATTTTCATTTTCCTTGAAAAAAGTCTTTACTTCTTCTTTAAGTTTTTTTACACATTCTTTATCACTCAATAATTTGGTATTAAACCTCCATCTCTGTTGTTTCTTTCTCTTTATACTCTTCCACCTTATTTCTAAGGGGTTATGATCTGCCCAGATGTTCGGGTTAATTTCTGCCATTCCTATTTCTAATCCCAGCTTCCTGCTGACCCATGCCATGTCTATTCTAGACCACGACTTTTGTGGATTTGAATAAAATGTATATTGTCTGTCATTTGGGTGTAGGGCTCTCCATATATCAATTAAATTCAGTTCATCCGCTAAATCAAAGAAAGCTCTTGGTAGATTTGCCCTTTTATTTTTCTTGATTTTATTGCTTTTATAGTCTTTATCCAAATCTACAATACCATTAAAATCGCCTATCATGCAAATTTCATTATATTCCATTTTTCCTAATTGCTCGTGAAGTTTCTTGAAATACTCTTCCTGTTTTTTATTTGGTACATATATACCCACTAACAGTATTTTGGAATTCCTTCTCCTAATCTCAATCATAAGAGTTCTTCCCTTTGTGTCATTAAACTTTAGCTCTGCTTCAGTTCCTTTCTTTACATAGATTACCATCCCCCTCTTCTTCTTTTCTGCTAGGGAAGTAAAAGTTTGACCAAATTTTTTGTATTCTAAACATTTGCCCTCTTCCTGTCTACCTCCTGTAGACAGATTATATCTATATTTTGTTTAACTAAGTTTGTTAGTGTTAATTTCCTCTTTTTATAATCGTTTAATCCATTAACATTTACTGATATTAATTTCAGATCGTTCATTCCTGTTTTCCTTGTCTAGTTTTTAGTTTTTGTTTGTTCATACCACTCTTACTAGTCTTGCTTTTTTCCCTTTGGCTTCTTCTTCTATCCTCTTCTCCTCCACGATTCCTTCCTTAATATTTATAAACATTTACTGATATTAATTTCAGACCGTTCATTCCTGTTTTCCTTGTCTAGTTTTTAGTTTTGTTTGTTCGTACCGCTCTTACTGGTCTTGCTTTTTTCCCTTTGGCTTCTTCTTCTATCCTCTTCTCCTCCGCGATTCCTTCCTTAATATTTTGGTGGTGCGAGGTTTCCTCTTCTACTGCTATTGTCTCTATTTCCTCTTTACTGCTCTGTTCTTCCTCCGCGCCTCTCAACTGATCGAGGAAGTCTTGTGCTGTACTCAAACTGTCGATTTTTATTTTCCTCCCTTGCCAAGTGATTAACATCCCTTCTGGCAGGAGCCACCTAAATAATATATTTCTTTTATTTAATTGTACAGCTAGGAATTTATAGTCCTTCCTCACCTCCCTTACTCTTCTTGGTACCTGTTTTAGGATTATCACTTCTTTTCCTCTGTAAGTTATTGGTTCTTCCCTCGCCATATTATATAGAATGTCTTTCACTTTTTTCCTTGCAAACCTTACATGTACCTCCCTAGGGAGCCTGTTCCTCCTTGCGTAATTTGTCTGTACTCTAGATACGTCGTCCAATTCTCTAATTATCTCTTGTTTATCTTGTTGGAGTACGTCTGCAATCAGCTCTGCCATCTTCTCTCCCAGGTCCTCCTCTTTGTCTTCGGCGATATTTTGGAAATGCAGGTAGAAGGCCGCCCGGTCCATCTCCAATTGGATTACCGAATCCTCTAGCTCTCTATTTTACATTGTCAGTGTTTGGTCTACGGTGTCTAGTTTCTTCTCGGTTTGTTCTACTCTTGTTTTCACTTTCTGAATTCTTTGCTCGTTGTTAAATATTGAGACTTGAATCTCGTTCATCTTCTGGTCCAATGCATGGATATCTATTTTTAATTTGGCATGATTGTTTGACATTTTCTCCTGCATAGCCATCATGGTTTCTTGGATTAGAGTCAATGATGATTGCATAGTTTATATTGTTGGTGCTGCTATGTGTTTTTCCATTTTTGCCAATCCTTCCATTGATTTCTGAGTAACTGGAGAGATCATCGTTATAATGGAATTGGATGGAGTCTTTTTTCCTGTTTTCACAATTGTTGATGACATGCTTGTCATTTCTTTCAAAATTGTTTCTTGTTCTCTAATTATTTTCTTGATATTTCTCCAAATTCTCATTCACCAGCTGCCGCCTCGACTTGTTTGATATTTATCTATTTTTTATTTTGTCTTCTGGTTCTTTAGGAAAAGGTAAATTCTATTTGTCAGTCAATATCAGTTTAAGACTCTAAGTCACTTTCCAACAGTGTCTTACCTAATGTCACTTGGTTTGTAGTATTAATAATAAAGATTAATTCATGATTTATAATTAATTTGTAGTTAGCAAGTTTAGTAATTGATAATTGGTTAATTAATAACTTGATTAGTAAAAATATGAATTTGTTTACAAAAAAATTGATTCAAGTCCTACTAACATACAATGATTATCTTACCCCTCTTAATAACTTAGATATTATAAATAATATATAACATCACACAACTATCAAAATAATGCAATGCTTAAAATCTAAAACTTAATTTTCTATATCAAGCTTAATTCCTGGCTATCTATATATAAATTAATATGAATAAATACTATAAATACTATAAATAGAAGTAAATACAATTTTAAATAGATGAATGAGTCTAAAAACTAAGTATGATATTAAATTTAAGGATATATACTATATATACCAAATCTAATAATTAATTAATAAAGGATTTAACAATTCTTATTAGTAGTTATATTTGAACAATCAGGATATTGAAGAAAAGATTGTCAAAAAATAACAATTTTCCCCTTTTTTCCCCTTTTAGAATATAAATTGTTCTTTATTACTCAGCCTCCAATCTTCTTCAGGCTGCTTTTTTTTCACCAAGTCTATTTATCAAAGCCAGCACTCTATAGTATTTCTTGCTACCAGACTGTCTATGAGTCAGCTGTTTCAATTGTTTTCCAGTCAAATCTCTGTAATGGCTGTGCTTCCTGCTCCCTGGAACAATCAAGCACTATCCACCTAGCTTCAGCCTCCGATAGATCTGCTGCTATAGTCAACAAAAGGAAAGAAATATTTTCTGAGTTCTTATTTCTTCTCACCGATCTTCTCTTTGCACATGTAATTTTGACACATCAGCTCTTTTATTTTCCTCGCCGGCTTGTCGGGCACTATATCTTTCCAATCTGCTCTCTGCTTGCAATCGCCGCTCTTTCCCTCTCCGAGCCCTTCACCCCCGACTCCACTGACCCCTTCTTCTGATGCCAAATTTCACACAGGCAGGGAAGGTGCATTGGTCCGATTTCAACATTGCAGCCTCCTATCTCCCTTGCTTCCTATCTGGTTGCTGGTTACCGCAGCTTTGGGTCCACCATTAGTTGGCTGACTCACGCGTGCTGGACTGACAGAGCCGCCCAGTTTGCAATTGGCATTTGCACTCCGCTTTCACGCTCACCCGACTCACTCTCTCGTCCGCGGGGCTCTCCAGGCTCCATGCCCCCGAAGGGTTCCCCAGAACACGGTGACTAGTGGAGTTGAAGAGCAGCAGTCACTCACTCAATGCCATATCACCGCGGATCGCCAACCGGAAGTCCAGAATCATAACTTGTTATGATCTTAAAGTGACTGACTCAATTTTATGACCTTTTTGTACTGGCCATTAAACAAATTAAACTAATTTCCATGGTCATTGAGCAAATCCATAGTTGTTAAGAGAAGCAATGATTCACTATGGGCAGGGGGTTGCTAAAAACTGGAAGTAAATACTACTTATACTACTCTTTGGCAAAAGTGACATAAAACAGGGTCATGTGACTGCAGGACACTATAAATGACTATAAATGCAATAAAGTTGCCCAATGTCCAAAGTGTGGTCATGTCACCATTGGGGTGGGCAACTGTTGAAACTTTAAATCCAAGTTGTAAATATCCCCTTTGGAACTTCGAATGTCACTAAGCAATGAGTCAATAGTCAAGAACTACATGTAACATGGATTAAGTGTGTAACAGGTATTGGTTTATTAGTTTAGACAAAAGTGGGAACTAATTATCTAGGAGGGAAATTTGTTATCTCACAGGTCATAAGAGTAGATAGGAAGAGCAAGCTTGTTGAAGCAGGTAAGATAATTTAATGTAAATATAATTTCAGAATGTGAAGAACCAGATGAGATTGACTTTGGGGAAATTGTGAGCGCTGAGAAAGCCAAGTACCTGGAAAACGACCGAGTGCAATACAGGTGCAACCCTTGCTATGTCTTGGAAGGACCTGAATGGATTCAGTGTAAGGGACAGGAATGGACACCACAGCCACCAAAATGCTTGGGTGAGCCATCATGCTTTCTTTGACTAGTGTAAACATGGGAGAAAATATGGAATTCAGTCAATAGGAAAAGAGCTGCAGTTGCCCAATTTTTTGAGAAGTAGCTTTTATTTGGATCCAGGTTTTCCCTTCTATACTGAAGCCAAAACTGTCCTGGTGTCAGACAGAAATCTAGAAAAATGAAATTGTGTCTCATTTTTCCCAATTTGTTTGAATGAGCAAACAAATCAGTTAATATAATGAGTGGTTTGAACTTTAACTTTGCTGTTGTTTAACCTATTAACAGTTTTTATTTCTTATATGTAATGCATGACAGATCAATTGGATTGCAAATAGATGTACAAATTTATAAATTCTGAACCTGCTTTGTAAAGTGGGGGGGATTATTATTGTTGCAATAGATTTGTCAGTGTTCAACTAAGGGGGATACAATATGTGTTTATGTCCTTTTTTAATTCACATTTTTAAATGTTTTTGTCTAGTTTAGTTTTGCCTCTGTTTATTTTTTTTCTTTTGAATTTTATATTTTAATCTTTTGAATAAAATAAAATTGTAAAACAAAAGTGAAATCAAGGGTCGCAATCTCCTATGCTTAGATAAGTGGAGAAGCTGTGCATCATACTTCAATAGAATATGGAATACTCCAGGCGTCTGAAATTTTGTTGCATTACAATTCAGCCAACTCAAAACGTCTTTGCAGAAGATTCTGAATTGGGCTGTTTGTTCTTAGCTTGAAAGAAACAACATCATCTGTTTGTGCATGCTCCTACATGCTCCTACAAGCCAGTCCTCTATGATCCTTCTAAAAACTATTGCAGAATCATAACTTGTTTATCATTAATATTGTGCTCTAATTTGGCTTATTGGATTTTCGGCTGGAACTTTCAGTTCTGATTTGTAAACCAGGCTGATTTTCTTGGTAGTAGAACAGAGGGAAACCAATGGACAAATTATCTCCCTTCAGAAGATCTACCTTCTTTTCCCTTTTTTAGCACCCTGCAGTATCACAAGACAACAGCTAGCAGCAAAAAACTTGTTTCTGTTTGGGAATCAAAGAAAAGCTCGGCTTATTCAAAGTAATCATAGCCTGCAGTTTCAGTGCAATGAAGGATATGTCCTCGTGGTTCCATCAGTCAGAGAGTGTGTTGATGGTTACATGGATTTCCCGTTATGTATCTCCGGTAAGCATGCTATCAATATGATGGATTTCTCTGCGATCCTAACTAATTAAAATAATTAATATAACAAACATGAACATTTGCTTCTAAAGTCCCATTCTTTTAAACATGATTTAATCTTCACTGACATCATTCACACCTTGCCTTAAAATTTTAGTAATTGTAATCTAAAACAAGAACCCTGAAGCACATCAGATTGGGGAAGGATGTTGTGATATTTTCCCAAACTCTTGAACTTCAGCTAAGAACTATGACTCCATGTGGTTGAAGATACGTATAATATTGGTAGACATAGGAATATGTTTCAAAAATTGCAAAGGTTGTATAAAAATAAGTTGATGTCATATCAATAAAGGAGCCCCATATTTTTCATGTTGAAAAAATCTCTTTTGTTTGAAATTGCTTGGATGAATTAATCATATAGATGTTAATATTGATCTGACTGGTATTATTATTTAAATAATAAATCCATAGGTTTGGGTGATGAAGGATATTTTATTATTCTTTGTTTGAATACATTGAATTTTCAGATTGTTATGGTAATAATTCACATCTTGTCTTGGAATTTTAGTAGTTGTAATCTAAAATAAAAAACCTGAAGCAAACATTGGGGAAAAGATTTTCCCCCAAACATCTGAATTGTTTGTAAGGTTCAGTCCAAAATCTTGAACTTCAGCTAAGAACTATGATTCTATGTGGTTGAAGATATGCATAAAATTAGTGGGCAAAGAATAGGTCTCAAAAATTGCAAAGGTTATATAAAATATGCTGATGTCATATCATTAAAAGAGTCCCATATTTTGCCTGATGAAAAAATCTCTTTTGTTTGAAATTGCTTGGGTGAATTTATCATATGGTCAATGTTAATATTGAACTGATTGGAATTATGATTTTATTTAATAATTCCATAAATTCCAAAATATTTAGGTGATGAAGGATATTTTATTATTCTTTGTTTGCAGACATTTAATTATCAGATTGTTATGATAACTTTTATAGCCTTACAAGAAATTAGTTCAGAAGATATTTTTTAAAAATTGTCACTCGTCCCTTCATATGTAGGTGGAAGCCTAAAGAGAGAGAAATAGAGAGAGAAAAATAGATTGTGAGCAGTTACAGCTACATTGTTCCAAAGGTGCTTTTTTAAAAAGCTATTGGACTTTCTTTGTTTTACCTTGAAGACATTTTGCTTCTCATCCAAGAAGCTTCTTCAGTTCAGACAGCGGGTGCATTGTAGCTCTGCTGAGATGTAGCTTGTGTTTTGATGTTGAAATTTCACAAATACTTAACTTGCTTATGAAATAATTCCACTTTAAAAATAGATAGTACCTGATTTTATTGGAAAAATGAGCAGAATCTGTAATAATTTTAAACCAATTTCTTTGTAATTATTATTTTTAAGAAATGTCATCCACTTTAGCTAGCATTTCCTGGCCTTTTGGTTTTTTTGTTCTCTATTTAATAGAAAGAGGAAAAAACTGCAGGGATCCACCCAGGATTGAGAACGGAGACATTATTCCTTTATCTGAGCAGCAGTACAGATCTGGCTCTTCAGTAGAATTCAGATGCCAAATGTATTATGCCATGGAAGGCCAGAACAGATCTTATTGTGATGATGGGACCTGGACAAAAGTGCCTGTTTGCCTCCGTAAGCAGAAATGAAAAAGACAGTCATGCAATGGAAGACATATCCTTTGGCCATTTAATGGCTAAATTAGTGCAAAAACTGCACGCTGTACCCTTGAGAATTTTCCCCAAAAGGCTGTTCTTTCCTTAATGTAGGGTAATATATCCAAAGAGCAGTGGTGGGCTTCAAATTTTTTTACTACCAGTTCTGTGGGTGTGGCTTGGTGAGTGTGGCATGGCTTGGTGGGCGTGGCATAGTGGGCGTGGCAGGGGAAGGATACTGTAAAATCTCCATTCCCTCCCCAATTCAGGGGAAGGTTACTGCTAAATCCTGATTTCATCCTGATCAGCTAGGACTCGTGATGCAGAGAATAGATGGGGGCAGGGCCAGTCAGAGGTGGTATTTACCGGTTCTCCGAACTACTCAAAATTTCCGCTACCAGTTACTGGTCAGAACCTGCTGAAACCCACCTCTGCCACAGAGTAATATTTTTATAGCAGTAAATGGTACAGTCATTGCTTTTGCTGACAATAAACTTCATGGCTAAGCTACTGCATGTTTCTATTTTTAAAGAATTTATAAACTCTTACCATAACAAAATCTAAATATCAATACTAATAGAAATTCCAAGTCAGTTTCTAACAATACTATAGGAACTCCTTTTGTTACTGGTAAAGAATAATGCCCTGCTTCTAATCTTAGGACTAGCAGATTGGTGTATGTATAGTGAGGAACATTTTACAATTCTAGCTGTTGCTTTTCCCAGAACCAGCAGTTCCACCACACTCATCAAAACAACTTTGTGGAAATGTCTGTTTGTTTGTTTATGTGCACCTGCCATTTCTGCACCATGTTGATCTTTGTGAATTCAAGATATTAGTAGTTTACTAATATAGTAATATTGATTAATATATCATGGTGATACACACACACACACACACACACACAAACACACACACACACAATTTTGTTATTGTTCTGTGCTAATAAAAAGAAATGCCCATAATCTGATATGAGTACAAGATTTTCTTTTTTCAATATACTATATGAGTTATTTTCTCTAGAAATTACATGTAACTCTCCGAGTATATTGCATGGTTCTTTCAAACCTCAAAGAACTATATACCATGATGGGGATCTAATTCAAATTCAGTGTGATAGTGGATTTACTTTTGAACCAGATAATGGAGAAAAGGTGGTTGAATGCACAAAGAATGGATGGTCACCTTCACCGAAATGTGTCGGTAAGTAGAATTTGCATCATTTCTATTATTGTAGAATGGCTTTATATCTTTAATTCTGTACAAGTATACTTTTAAACATTATTTTACATAATTTTCTAATTAGTTTTGCCTAAGGGACATCTCACTCAGAACATTTTAGCAGATATGATAGGAGGATGTACTTTGCAAACAGAATAGACATGATTGCATCATTGCATTTCCATACATTCACCTTGAAAAGATTCTTTCTAGATACAGTATGTGGGAACCATGAAAATAACATTCTTTAAACAACATGTAGAATATCTGCTTGTCAAATAAAGAGGAATAACCAAAATTATAGACAAATTAATGGGCAAATAAATACACATGCCATAAAGAAGAAAACTAAGATGGCCAGGGCTGGTCCCTGCACTGCCTTCCCTGGGCCTGTGCTGGACTTGGCCATGGGCTCTCCCTTCCGCTTTATCTCTGCAATCTTCCCTGAGTCTTCTCAGTCCTCCTGAAGGTGATCAGGTAGACAGCTGGGGCTCAGGACTCCAGAGGAGTTATTTAAAGTTATTTATCGCTATTTAAAGCATAAGAAAGTAGAGCTGCTTAGAATATGATTAAAAAGGACTTTTTGGAATTTTATACAAAGTTATATGCTAGTGACTCAATACAAGGTATAGATATAGATAGATATTTAAAGGAAGGGAATATCTCGGAATTAACGTTGGAACAGAGGGAAGGATTGAATCAACCAATAACTTCTGAGGAGATCGTTGCGGCAATTAAGCAATTAAAAACAGGGAAAGCCCCAGGAACAGATGGATTAACAGCTGTTTATTATAAGAATTTACAGCTTGAAATGGTGGAACCGCTTAGAGCTTTATTTTGTAAAATTCAATTAGGGGGAGGAGTTCCACCCTCTTGGAGAACAGCTTTTGTCTCATTGATTCCGAGAGAAGATCAAAACTGTATCAAACCTGAAAATTTTAGGCCAATTTCACTTTTGAACACAGATTATAAAATTTTTGCTAAGATATTAGTGAATAGATTAATGCCAGTTATGCAACAAGCTATTCACAATGACCAATCAGGTTTCATAAAAGGGAGGAAGATGAAATATAATGTTAGACAAATTATAAACCTATTGGAATATTTGGAAAAAAATAACCAGATCCCTGCAGCGTTCATATTTTTGGATGCAGAGAAAGCATTTGATCAATTGAACTGGCAATTCCTGTTTAAGATAATAGAAAAAAATGCATTTTGGGGAGTATTTTATACATTCAATTAGAGCAATATATCAGGAACAAACAGCACAAATAATAGTTAATGGAGGTTTAACAGATGCATTTAAAATTGAGAAAGGTACTAGGCAGGGTTGTCCCTTGTCGCCATTGTTGTTTATTTTAACTTTAGAAGTTTTGTTGAACAAGTTACGTGACTCTGATGTCCCCTATCTCCTCTACTGTTTATATTATCATTAGAAATATTATTAAATGAGGTTAGGAAAGATAAAGAAATAAAGGGATTAAAAATCAAGAATGAGGAATATAAACTTCAAGCATTTGCCGATGATGTACTATTCATTATAGAACAAACAGCACAAACAGGAATGAAATTGTTGGCAAAAATAGAACAATATGGAAATTGGCCGGACTTAAAATTAAACAAAAAACAAAGGTACTAACGAAAAATTTCACAAATTCACAAAGAAAAGAATTAGAGGATAAATTAGGAATACAAATAGTAAAAAAAGTAAAATATCTAGGAATCTGGCTCATGAACAAAGGATCAACATTTAAGGAGGACAATTACAACAATTTGGCAAAACAGATAAACAAAGACCTAGAAATATGGAGTAAATTGCAACTATCACTGTTAGGGAAGATCACATCCATTAAGATGAATATACTACCAAGAATATTATATCTCTTCCAAGTGATCCTGATAAACCCAGGAAGAGCTTTCTTTAAGGACTTTAATAAAATGATTGCGGACTATATTTGGCAAGGAAAGAGGGCAAGAATTAAATTAAAACACCTCCAGGATACACAAGAGAAAGGCGGACTAGGGCTACCAGATTGGCAAATATATCATAAAGCAACATCCCTCATCTGGATAAGAGACTGGATAGAGCTTAAAAATAAAAAGATATTAACAATAGAAGGTTTCAACTTACTGAAAGGGTGGCACGCATTTTTATGGCAGGAGAGAGACAAACAACATGAATACTTCCGGAGGCACATTATTAGAGGAACACTCCTAAAGACTTGGCTAGAGATCAGGAAAAACCATTATGATAAAATTCCAGAATGGCTCTCAACGATGGAAGCATAAATATATCCCAATGCGATGGACATGAATAAAATGAGAACATACAAAGAATTATTGAACAGTAAAGGAGAACTAAGATCACGAGAAGAATTGAAAGAACAGGTACAGACATTGATTGGTGGCCATATTTACAAATAAAATCTAGATACAAAATGAACTCGACACAATTTGGATTCCAAAAAGAACCAAACAAATTAGATAAAATTTTATTGGGAACAAATGATAAACAAATAACTAAAATTTATAATTATTTATTAAAATAAAAATTAGAAGAGGATGTGGTTAAAGAAAACATGATTATATGGGCAAAAATTTTTGGTTATAGTATCGAATTGGATAAATGGGAAAAATTATGGAAAGTAAATACCAAACTAACAATGTCTGTACCCTATAAAGAAAACATCTATAAAATGTTTTACAGGTGGCACCTCCCCCCTGCACGCTTAGCAAAAATGTTCCCCACCACTTCCCCAGACTGTTGGAAATGTAAAACACAAAAAGAAACATATTACCACATGTGGTGGTCCTGTCAAAAGGTGAAACAGTTTTCGACTTCCGGTTTGCTGCTGGCCGCCGCCAGATGTTCCTTCGGGATCGTCAGCTTCCATTGCCTGTTAGAGCCGCCTTCACAGTGGAATGGCGGCTCGAAAAAACTCTGTTTCCATGAGGAAATGGAGATAGAGCCGGCAGGGGTGGGTAGAACTCTCTGCATAGTCCCAAAAGTTTTTCTTTTACTTTTGGGACGGAGCGGATGAGATGCCCCATATCCCCAGCCGCTGCTCCGGGCTTTGGGAGACCTCTGCTAATGCAGAGCCAGGCGTCAAAAGCAAGCCTGCGAATTTAACAGATTATTCAAAGAAAATGTGAGCTGGACCTGTAATACTGAATCGCAAGTATTTTACTTATTTTTCAAAAAAACTACTTAAGAGAGAAGAGGAAAGGAAAGGGGAAAAAAAAAGCTTTTTAAAATGGCGTCTGCCGCGGCTGGAGAAGAGGCTGAAAGGGAAAGTCCTTCCGTTTTCTATTATTACAATGTAGCGGAATAAATACCACTGGCTACATTTGCAGACAAAACTTCGCTCCTGTGTTTTTTTCTCTCTTTTTTCTGCCTGGAGACTTGACATTGTTCTTGATTGGAAAGAAGTCTTTTTTCTTGTTTTTTTTTTTTTCCTTTTAACAAAGCTTGCCTGGGCGGAAACATGGCACTGAGACTTATAAAGTCAGACAAACAAGTAGTGGGGGGGGATTCCCCCACTAACAATTTAAAGGAACAAGTTTTAACTCTCCAGTCTCAGAAACCTGATTTCAATATAATAGAATTTCTCTTGGAGGAGATTGAAAGAAGGGATGAGATTGTGAATCAGCATCTTGAAAAATTTAAGCAGGAAATTAAAGAAACGGTGAAATCTAAGTCTGATATTTTGGAGTGAAAAATTTTAAAAGTGGCTAATGGTTTTTCAGAATTTATGATACAGTTGGATACAAATATTAATTTACTAGAGTCTAAAATGGAAGAAACTCAAGATAAATTGGGCAATAGAATCCAAAAAATTGAAAATGATTTGATAAACACTCAGGATAATAGCTCAGAAGAAAAACCTAAAATGGAGGCTGATCAAAAGTCTGGTAACGTAGAAAATCTGCAACAGAGGATTGAAAGAGAAGTTCTAATGGTACAATATAATTTTACAGAATATGCGATAAGACTGAGCGGTTTGCAGGAAAATAACAGAGATGATTTAAGGAAAATATCTTCTGAAATTCTAGCTGGGATTTTAAAGGTTCAACCTGAGGACGTGTTTTGTAGGATTGACAGAGTTTACAGAATAAATTCCTGGACTGCCAAGCAAAGGCAACTGCCTAGAGATGTGGTGATTTATTTTACAGATAAAGAAATTAGGAATAATATTGTGCAAAATTCCTTCAATTCTAATTTGCAATTGTATGGAAGAAAGATTTGGATTTACAAAGAACTCCCACCTAAGATATTAACGGAAAGGAAGAAATTTGGTTTTCTGGTGGCTGAGTTAAAAAAGAGAAATATCCCATTTAGGTGGGACGCCCCAGTTGGTATCATATTGAGATATCAAGGAGAAAGATACCAGCTAAATACTGTTGAAAGAGCGGAAGAATTTTATCAAAATAGGTTGAAAATGAACTTAACATCTTCAGGTTTAATACAGGATAAGCAGAAGGAGCTGGAAATAAAGGGAAAATATCGAATTACAGAGACTGTACCAGATAAATTGCCTTTGGATTTTTCGGATACCCCAGCTGGATTATCTACAAATTTGAGAGAAGTGGCATCTGACTTTAACGTGATGACTTATCAAGTCAAGGACAAGCATGGAAACCAATTAGGGGATATACAAGGGATAAAAAAGAAACATGAGACACAAAAACAAAACCAACAAGACCAATCTACAAAGCAGAATGAAAACCGATTAGTTGATACACAATCTGTAGAAAGGAAACCAGGATTGAAATCAAACCCACAAAAAGAAAAGAAAAAAAGAAATAGGTTGCATCAAAATAGAAATTTCTAAACCAAGCAACAGTGAAGCCAGTGACTTTAAAAAACGAATGAGTATGTGAAAATATAGAGGAGGCGACGTATTGGACAATATTATCCTGAGGATAGTGACAGATCTCTGCATTGCCGTAATCTTGGGATGTGAAAAGATCCTTAAACTGATGGATTTGAATTATCCACTTTGGAATTCCTTTTTTGTGCTGATAAATATATTATAATTATCTTGAATCATAAGGCAAGAGAATTACGCTGGGGCAAGCAGAAGATCAGGTTGTTACCCACTACGATGATGGGAATCAATAATCCTGATGAAAGCCACAATTATTACTATATGGAATATAATTATAATGTCACTCGGGTGGTTGTTTTTACTTTTATACATATAAGAGGATATTTACTACTGATGGGGGCGGATATGATTGAAGATTTTGAATAAACTGTTGCATCAGCAAGCTATGTTACCCTATTATGGATGATGGTCCTAATAATCCAGTGGAAAGACTTTCAAGAAGATATTATATGGACTATAAATTTAAAGTCATTGTCTTTTCTTTTTTATTTAGATATAATGGAATATATATACATATATTTTTAAGTAGCGTGGGCAGTGAATCAAAGATATTAAGAATTGTTGTGTATGGTAATTTTGCAGGACAGTGGGTGAATAAGCTAGGTTGCAGATTGATTAGTTTAAGAAAAGGGATTTTTAAGTGATATATTTAGGGGAGTGGAGGAAATGGATAGAGTGGAATAAATGTTAAATTAGATTTTATGGGGAAGACCGCTTTGAAATGTTATAGTAATACATACAGAAGATTAAATGTTAAAGTAGGATTTATTGTATAGTTTTAAAGCGGAAGGTGGTTTTAATTTGTTGTAATAATATATAGATATAAGTTTGGGAGAAGAAAAAAAGGGCAGATTATTGCTAAATTGGGAGTTATAATACTATTATGCTAAATTAGAAGTTATTTTACAATGTTATAGTATAATGTCTTTTTTTTCTTTCTTTCTTGAAATGTATGGATAAAGGGGGATGTTATAATATTAATAATATTTTTAGTAAGTAAAGGTCAGTATTTAGAGGAGGGAGTAAGTAATCTGTTATGAATTAGGTTTTTTGTTACGAAGAAGTCACAGGGGGGGATGGGTGGGGAGGGGGGGTTAGGGAGGGGGAGGGGGAGGGGGGAAAAAGGGGGGGAAATTTGTATTTGAAAACTTTTTCAATAAAAAAAAAAGGTGAAACAGTTTTGGAAGATGGTTAAAAACCAAATAGAAGAAATTACAAGCCAGAAAATACCAATGAAACCAGAAACCTATCTATTAGGAATATTTACAACCCATTATGAAAAAGAAAAAAAATACTTAATTACACACATCTTAACGGCAGCAAGAATCATTTTCGCTCAGAGTTGGAAATCGGGAGACACACCTCCAGAAGATAAAATAACGTTGCTATTTCTTATATAGGCACTTTAAGTACAGAGGGTAGACTCTCCTCTCTATTGATTCAGTCACATCGACTCTGATTAGCCCATATTGAAGAGAATATATAAATTGACATTTTAAGAAAGGTTGGCTGAACTTGTGTAACAAAGACCTTTAGTATGAGAAAATCTGGAAGAAGGAGACTAAAATATTTGCCTTCTTCCTTTTGCAAATACAATAATGTCTTGCTTAAAAGAGGTTTGTGTGTGTTAGGTGTTTAGTTCATGACTGATAACAGCTGAGAGACAAAATAAAAATGGAGAAGGGGGGCAAAAAGAGAGAAAAATCCATTTACACAGATCTCTAATCATTTTACCCCATTACAATATAGAATTTCCAACCTAAACATTAATCTCTTTATCAAAGGAATTCTTCAGGGTCAAACTTTCTATGTTTCATCTGATCTGTGTCCTTTTGCAGTTGCTTGTACAGCAAGTGAAGAAGATATGAGAGGACACAATATATAATGTAACTTCCTGCTTAGTTAAGTGTTCCCTTGATTGTCATGCTTGCTTTATATCTCTCTACACAAAATCTTCCATAATGTCAAGCCTGTTCCTTTTATCATAAACTTTTCCTAAATCAACAACAGACATATTTGTAATCATGAGGAGTGTTGCTCAATAGATTCTGTATCTGTTATAGATATTGAGGGAAAATGTGGACGTCCACCTCGCGTGGAGAATGGAGATATTGTGGACTCAATCAAGCCAATCTATTTACATTCTGAAAGTGTAATTTATCAGTGCCAAAATTTCTATGCAATGCAAGGTTCTCCAAGAGTAACTTGTCAAAATGGTCATTGGTCACAAACACCAACATGTAGAGGTATAAGTAATATCTTTAATTCTTTATAGATTTAATCTTTATAGAGAAATATTTTATTTTTGGAATGGAATAAATTTCACACATCAGACATGTTATGTCAGTATGTTAATGCCAAAAAATATTTTACTTCCTTGTAATTGAATAAAAGTAGTAGTATTATGAATCAAGACAAAGTAACTTTCTCAGGGAGAAACTGCTTCATAATGGAGAATTGTACAAGATCTTTTGTCATTTACAAATGTTGTCCACATTTTGTGAAAACCTCCTGGTGAAATTCGCTTTCCCTAAGCTATATTTCATAACAGACATCTTTTTAGTCACTAGCATGATTGAAAAAATTCAGATTTTAGTTTACTTGAGTTCAGTAGGTAGATTTTATTTTTCTTAGTATTTCACAGATGACAACACTGGGTCCTCCAATCATCATCACACTATCAATCAATCAATCAATCATTCCTTGAACAAAAATTGCAAAAAGCTATGATTCCCAACAATCCACTAGAGCTTTTTTTTTGGAGGGGGGTGGAATGATAGTATTAGTTGAATCTCTAGGGAACTAATATTATTATTTTTTAAATAGGCTAAGTATGGATGAAGACACTGTTGACTTAATCATATCTACCCTGTTTAGTCAATGTTGAAAAAGAAGATATGAGGTGACATTGTAAGAGAAGTTGCCTGAACTTGGTCTTCTCCTAATTTAGACATTCAGTATGAGGAAATTTGGAAGAAGGGGACTAAAATATTTTTCCCTTACTTTTACACATGTAACATTGCCTTGCTTAAAAGGTTTAGTTCATGACTGATAATTAGTTCATGAGAGACAGAATAAAATAAGGGGGGGGATCCATTTACATAGATCTCTAATCATTTTAGCCTGTTGCAACATAGAATTTCTAACCTAAACTTTAATTGAATTAAATTATGAATTGAATTAATTCATATTTCATATTCATAAATTAAATTAATATGAATTAAATTTAAATGAATTCCTAAGTGTAAAACTTTCTGTATGTCATCTGATCTGTGTCCTTTTGCAGTTCCTTGTACAGCAAGTGAAGAAGATATGAGAGAACACAATATAAGGCTGAAGTGGAAGCGCACGGATAAAATATATTCTGAGGATGGAAATATTGTGGAATTTGTATGTTTAAGAGACTATAAACCACATCCAAATTCCAGACCATTAAGAGTTAATTGTGTGGATGGGAAATTTGACTATCCGGATTGCATTCCTGTATGTATATTTTCAGAAAAATATTTTAATTCACCAATATTAACATTTCTTTCCCTTGTCTACAGCTATAAAGCTATATATCTATATCTACTGTATGCATTAAAAAATCATTTAAAATATTCAAAAGGCCTAAGTCTGTCAGCTAAATTTGTGGATGCAATGGATTCCCACTCAGTCTTTGGCAATTCTTCTAAATCAAAACACTTCTTAAGATTCCTGTGACCTAAATAAAATTCCTTCTGTTCAGAGCAATGGGAGAGAAGCACTATTAAGGGTGATGTTACTTAAAAACATTGAGGTATGGGACACAAACATCGCCCATCATTTCATCTCTTCTGGTCTGTTGCTGGATCCTGGCAAATTCCAAGAGAAAGAACAGGAGATCCCTGTGTCCTAGGCCTGAAATGAATGAAAACTCTTAATTTAACCTCTGTGGGCTATTTTTATTGATTACATTGTCATCAATGAAACAAATTCAATTAACGTGCACACTAAAATTTTCAGTAGGAAGCAAGTAATTTTTCGGTTGGATCTAGTAGTTTCTTGAAGTCAATAGAATTTCATTTAGTAATGGATAATCTATCTCGCCCAATTCATTTCAGAGGGTCTTCGTGTTCAATCTTTTTTATATTCATTCTAAGCTTGGAAATATTTCATGGGATACCTTATTTTACATGTAATGAATGATTATCAGTGGTTACTAATTCAGTTAATTTTATTTTTTGTTCTGCTCCTGTAGCTTCTGACAGATGTTTATAAATCGGTATGTAAACACATTTATGCAAGTTGAAAGGGGAGGAGAATATTTCAATATCAATACAAATGGAATAAATGAAATCAGTGAAAATAACCCACTGGGTTTAAAGTAGAGGTTCCATCATTTCAGCCCCAGTACAGAGGAATCTTCTGGTCTTAGAATCTTCCAGGATTCAGCAACGTGTCCTGAAATGGCAGATGTTTTCTCCTCCCTACCCCATTACTTCTTTTAAGTATTATGCCTGTATTATGCCTTTCCCATTGCTCTGAATGGAAGCAATTTTATTTAAATCACAGGAATCTTATTGTATCGTGGGGCTTCCCTTTGAAATTACAATTAATACAAATAGGAGTAGTAAAATACCAATTTCTATCGAGATTTACAATCAAATACCAATTATTTCTGTAATAGAGCTTCTTTCTAATCAATGACAAAATGGAGGCTTTCTTGGTATTGCTGGACTACAGCTCCCAGTATCCTTCTATTGGACTGTGTTGTCTGAGAATAATGGGAGTTTATTTATTCACTGCATTTGTATTCCATCTTTTCTCAAGTGTATCCCCTGTGAGGATGAATTAAAGTTTGGTAACATTTACTTTCCCACTCCTGTTTTTAAAATCTTGGGCTTTGGGATCACTCTGACAGCCACAGTTCATATCCTAAAATATCAAGGATGGTTAATAAACATTCTTTAAATTTGTTACATGTTATTGTAAAAAGTAATTTCTTTCTTTCTTTTTTTTTTTTAAAGAGAACATTGCCCAGTGATAGAATGGTCTACAATTTTTGAGTCACTTGAGTAATTTTAAGTAATTGGTTTAACAAATTGAGATGCTGACATTTCAGAGGCTTCTTGCTCATGTATGGAATCAATTTAATATCATAAAGTTATCAGAGAGTGCATTTTGCTGCAGATCAAGATCTATCAGTTTAAAAAAGAATTATATAAAATGTAGAGATGCAAATTTATTTCTTCATTCTTCACATTGTATTTTACAGATCTAACTAAAGGAACAACAGAACATGTACATCATTCTTTGAACCAGGAGATGGATGTCAGAAATCATTTATCATTCTCCTAAAATATGACCACATTAAACTGTATTGTCTATAGCTATCAACAATGTATTTGAACCTAAAATTCTACTTTGTAAAAACCAAATTTTAACAACTGGGAAAAAGTTAACATTTAAAAACAAGTCTATAGACTATCTTTAAGGCAGATACATCTAGAATGAGGAATTTATATTTTTTAAAAAATATATATTTTATCTGTAAACATTTAATTAATCTGAATTATCAGTCAGCAGGCCATCTTAACACAATAATAATAGATAATTGTAATTAATATTTTTAGCTTATAGATGTGCTGAGTTCCTTAAAAAATAAAAATAAATAAATAAATGTTTTTTTCACCAAACAAATTGTAATATATATTTGTAAAGAAACAGGTATACAGTAAACTCTCCATTTCACAGTCCAGTCCAAGATCCAGAAGCAGTCTTGTCTTCCTTGGGTTGTTCTGGAGGTAGCCTAATATAGCTTGATGCTCGGAATCAGAGGGAGGCTCGGCCAAATGGATTTCTGCTACTCTGAGGTATAACATAGGAAAATAACAAATAGGTACAAGGTCTTCTTCTTTGTTTTGTTTTTCTTTTTAACATATGAAATTATATAATTATTTATTAACAATTAAAATTACTGCATTTTTTGGAGTATAAGATTCACGGAGTACAAGACGCACCAAGATTTCAAAGAGGTAAACAAGAAAAAAAACATTTTTGCCCTCCCCAGCCCCCAGAAGCACTCTGCAGGCCTCCCAAACCCTCTGTGTGTTCCATTTTTGTGAAAAACGGGCCCGTTTTTTTCAAAAACAGGGCCTGCAGAGGGTTTGGGAGGCCTGCAAAGTGCTCCTGGGGGCTGGGGAGGCCAAAAATGAGCTGTTTTTCATTAAAATGGGCCTGTTTTTCACAAAAACAGGGCACACAGAGAGTTTGGGAGGCCTGTAGAGTACTCCTGGGGGCTGGGGAGGACAAAAACACCCCAATTTTTCAAGAAAATGGGCCCATTTTGGCCTTCCAACCCCTCCCCCCCTCACATCACAGTTTTGCCCTCCCCAGCCCTCAGGAGCACTCTGTAAACCTTCCAAATCCTCCGTGCATCCTGTTTTTCTGAAAAATGGGCCTGTTTTTGGTGAAAATGGGACACACGGGTAGGGTTTTGGGAGGCCAAAAATGCCTGTATTCAGTGTATAAGATGCATCAATATTTCCACCTTCTTTTTGGGGGGGGGGAGTGTGTCTTATACTTCGAAAAGTACGGTAAGCTAGATCTTAGAAATTGATGCAGGGCCTGCCAAACGACATTCTTTCATAAATTTTATTTGACACAGAATAGAATGAAATGTACTAAAACCACTAATCACAGTGGTTCTTCTTCTGCTGTTTTTAAATCCATAAAATCATTTTTGGTATTTCATCCTGATGTGGTTGTATCATCTCTGAATTCTAAAGAATTCATTGGCTTGGCTTTTGACTGGACACTAGATGACAACAGTCTTGATGTTATAAACTGAACTCCAAGACCCCCCCCCCTCCATTCTGGGGAGGACAGCAAATTTCAGTTGATAAGCTTTCATTCCTTCTCACACACCCCTAAGTTAGGGGGAGTCAGTCTGAGCCTTTTCCTAATAATTCTGTGCATGTTTCTGTAACTTTCTGAATATTCTTTTCAAGGCCATCTACATCATTCTATGTAGCAGAATATAGGTCAAGTGGAAATTTGTCCGCTTCTTACTTGTAGCTTGATACACTTCCAGTTTGAAGATATGGTGGTATATTAGCTTATTTATAAATAATTAGAGACTTTTGTAAGCTATTAATTGACTTTAGTTAAAGCGATTAGTTTATTTGTGCCTTTGCCTGCTAGAAGTAACATCTTTTTAACACCTACTGGCAAGAACTAGAGGGGTCGACCACAAACACCCCATAGGTTGTCCACAAATGTTTCCTATATAACTGGTAGGTTGTGAACTTTGACACTTGGCTAAGATATGTTGCAAGTGAACCCATTACTGAAATTAAGGAAAATAATATGGTATTTAGCTTATGCTTAAGCGGATAAAGATGTCTAAACAGGAGTCTGGAAGTAAGCAAAGTGTATCATTAACATAGTAAAAAAACACACCTAGAGGTCCAATCTATAATAGTACAGCCTATCAAAAGCAATACGGAAGAAAACAGAATAGGAATGCAGATCAAAATAGGAAAGAAAATAGTAAGAGAACATGTATCCAATCTGGATAAATTCAAATCACCAGGACCAGATGGATTACATCTCAGGATACCAAAGGAGCTGGCAGATGTGATCTTGTCGCTACTAAGGGAAGTCTTTTAGAGTTCCTGGAGCACAGTGAAACTGCCAGAGGACTGGAAAACAGCTGATGTGGTTCCAAACTTCAAAAAGCGAAAAAATGGAGCCAGAAAAATTACTGATCAATCAACCTGACATTAATACCTGAGAAGATTCTGGAAAAGATTATCAAGCAATAGATCTGCAAACACCTAGAAACAAACAAAATGATTGCTAGAAGCCAACGTGGGTTTGCTAAAATCAGATCATATCAGTCAAACCTTATTATCTTCATTGACAAAGTGATTAACTAGATTGGGGAAATGTTGTGGACATATTTAGTTTACTTAGACTTCAGTAAGGCATTTGACAAAGTAGACCACAGCCTACTTCTTGGTAAGATAGTAATATGTGGGAGAGACAGCATCACCACCAGATGGATGTGCAACTGACTGACCAACTGCATTCAATGTCAAGTTCTCAATGGAACTACATCTATAAGGAGGAGAGCATTCAATGGGGAGCCTCAATGCTCTATCTTAGGCCTATTACTCTTCAACATCTTCATAAATGGTTCAGATGAGAGTAAAGAAGGGGAACTCATTAAATTTGCATATGACACCAAGTTGGGGAAGTGGCAACACTTTAGAATATAGACTCAAGATTCAAAAGGATTTTGACATACTTGACCTTTAGGCACTATCCAACAGGTCAATGGTGAGAAAAGTAAGGTTTTGCACCTAGGGAGGAAAAGTCAAATGCACAGGTATAGAAGAGGTGATAGTAGTAATAGTAGTAGTAGTAGTAGTAGTAGTAGTAGTAGTAGTAGTAGTAGTACTGTGAGAGGGACCTAGATTACCTAGTTGATTATCACTTAAGTATGAGCTAACAGTATCTGCAGCTGCCAATGCAATCCAAGGATGCATCAACAAAAGGATATCATCAAGATCATGAGAACTGGTAGTACTGCTGACTAGTGAGGCCATACTGCATCTGGTTCTGTTTACCACAATCCAAAAAAGATGCTGAGGTCCTAGAAATTGTGGGTGCTCCATCACTAAAGGTTTAAAGAAGAGTTTGGACAATTTTTTGTTCAGAATAGCACAGGGCAGTGATGGTGAACCTTTTTGGCACCAAGTGCCAAAAAGGTAGTGTGGAAACATTGCACGTGTACGCTGTCATCAGGGCCATGTTCTGGAAAAGCCGAACTTCTGGGTTCTAGCCAGTGCACATGCACACACCAGTTTTTGGCACTGCCGCGTGTGCGAAGGACAGCTGATCGTCACATGCATATGAGCTCCAGAAACCTGGAAGACAAACAGGCAAGGTCGCATGTGCCAGGAGACATGGCTTTGCATGCCACTTTGGGCACGCATGCCATAGGTTCACCATCATGGGTATAGGGTCTTATGCACAAGCAGAAGGCTGGAACAAAAGACCTCCAAGGTCCCTTATTTGCACCTTATTTGTGAGAACCTCATTTAATAATGTCTGCTCAAGGCAGAATTGTGGCAGATGACACCATCTTAATGTGTCAAATGTAGGAAGACCAATACTTAGACCAACATAGGCCAACATAGGCCTAAGCCCAAACTGAAGGCCAAAGGAAGAGAGGGGAGATATAAAGGAGACAGGGATGGGTGTTGCTGTTTCTAAAGGTGGGGCCCATGAAAGAGACAGCACACTTCTTCAGTACCATAAGTTGGCAGCATTTAATGAAGGTAGGTGTAGGGCATCCACCCCATTGTAACATACCATGTGGGCAGAAACAATTGGAGGCAGATGGGCAAACCCTCAGAAGAGGAAGTTGGCACAGAGTAAAATTTGACAGAGTGATGTGGTATTATGTAGAATGTTAGGCTTTATTATTAGCATTTTAGCATGGCATCTATGCCTCCTTTTGCAAAAATGTTTTTCCTTTGAACCAAACCTTTGATGAAACAGTAGGACTCTGTTCTGAAGTCCCAATGCTTCTTTATGTCAGTAGGCTTGGAAATGCTGAAAAGGGAATGCCCTTGGACTCAGAATCCTATATACAACACAGAGATATAAAATATAAATATATTCTTCTTGTTGTTGTTGTGCCATATCCATCATTGGACATTGGTGATCATGTTGGCAATCCTATTTCTATCAACAGCTGTATGAAAAAGTGCTGCTGAGTTTTCCAGTCCCTTAGGTTTTGAAGCCATGATGTTCTTCTTCTGCCTGGACCTCGTTTGCCTTCAATCCTCATTTCCTTCAATCCTTGTTTCCCTGGAGGATTAAGTGAAGGATGCTATATTTTTCTGGGTGTTGCATCACATGTCCAAAATATTCTAACTTTTGCTTTTTAATGGCTTTGATTATTTCCCTTTGCTTTCCCAGGCAGCTTATCACCTCCTCATTTGTGATTTTATTAACCCAGCTTATATGTAACAGTCGTCTGTAAATCTACATTTCAAATGCTTCCAGTTTCTTCAAGTAGTTTTCTGTCAGAGACCAACTCTCTACTCCGTAGAGCAGAAAAGATGTAACATCTGACAAGCCTGATTTTCAGTCTTAGGCTTATGTCATGACTGCAGAAGACTTTTTTCATTTTGAAGAATGCTGTTCGAGCTTTCTCTATCCTTGTCTTTACTTCACTGATCATGTCCCAGCTTTCATGTAATCCTTTCAACTTTTTCTAATGGTATTCCTTCTGAATTTATCAGTGGTAAATTAATGGGTTGTTTGCTGACGACCATGACCTTGGTTTTTGAGGTGTTAAGCTTCAAGCCATAT